GCCGGTGGCAATTTATATCCGCGAACCTTCGCGCGAGCGACATGCAAGATTCGGTCGCCGCTTCTAAGACAGCGCACGCGCATTGCACCACACAGATTACACGTGCAGCACTAATGAGCGGAAGACTTTAATCACTAGAGCACCCCAAGCGATAACGATAAGAACAGCACGCTGGCGACATTATCACAACCGGAAATTATAATTAGGAAAACAGAACGTCATTGATATCGGTTGATCTATGAATCTAGCATTCTGCTCGCGCGCGCTGAGCTCTCGCGCTCAAGGCCAGCGACCGGATGTTCATTAAAATCCGGATGCTCGGGCTTGCTATCGCTGCGAGCAGCGCTAATGATGCGGTTAATCAATTTTAATGAGCAAGCCCCGCCCCGCCTTCGAACAAAACGCTCAGTCTCAACTTATCGAGTCTTCAAACAACACGTGTGCGCGTTCATGTCCGTAAAGTTAGCATACCCACTTATCACAAAATTGAAAAATTGTATCCCAGAATTTTGTTCTAATTAAGGAGTAATTTATACCCAAATTTAAACATTTTCTACTAATGCACAACATCAAAATATTCAACACTAAATGTGTGTACGCTAACTTAACGTTAAGTTAGCATACCCACACAAGAAAAACGCATAAAACATAAAAACTAAATGTACCAGAAGTTTGTTCTAATTAAGGACTAATTTATACCCAAATTCGAAACTTTCGAGCAATTTCTTTTAAATGTATTCAATTCATTATTACGTAACATTGCTGCAAGTTGTAATCGGTTATTTTGAATACCCCGTAAGTCACTCTCTTTTAGTTTTGCTTTGGTGAGAAAATACAAGCAGAAGGATATGTGCGTCGTTCCTTGTGTAAATCAGATGAATAGAATAGCCGTGAGAACATTGCAAAGTTTTGATTTGGTTTTGAAACTGAAGGTCGTTGACTTGCGTCGTATGTATGTCCGTATGCATGTACTGTGTGTATGACAACTATCACTGAAAGATTGGTTAAAAGGGATATTTATTTCGGAAATATTCCTATATACTATCATAGAAACACATATTTCTAGCAATTGTTTATGTTATATGAAGCATGCTTGATGTATACGCACATTGTCATTTCACATAATATTGTAATAAATGTGTCAAATTACAAAATCAACCTGCGATGTGTATTTATTTACAAGTTTAAGTAAAAAAATACTGATTAGTTTTTGAAGTCCCGTGTGTCATAAACTCCAATGACCATTGTACCAAAGTTCAACGATTATTGTACTTTTGAAACAAGGAAATAACATCTTTCCCTGGCATCTTAATCAATATTTATGCATCAGAAATTAAAAAAAAGGAATAGAAAGGTCTCTGTATTCTCAATTATTTTAATATTGTAGTTTTTCTTATTTTTATTTTATTATAATTTATTAAATTTGTTGGTCCTTGATACCGAAAAATCGATTGACCGCAAAACGTCTGTCTGTCTGTCCGTGTGTCTGTCCGTCCGCCTGTGTACAACGCTGGCGCGCAAACCGATTTTCTCGAATTTTATCGAATCGCTCTAGCTGATGTCGCGACCCATGGGAATTGTTACACATATTTTTGATATTTCATATTTGAAAATGTTTCTACATATAGTTAGAATGCATTACATACATACAATAAATACATTTATTGTTCAGAAATTTGTATGACTGCAATTGCTAAGTTGACACTAATTTAACAGTAATGTGACAATTATTAAAAACCTTTAGGAACAGGAAACAAAAATTCTTTGGAACATTTTTGGCATACCAAATGATTAATATACAGATTCGGAATGTAAAACTAGTTGGAAAAACTAAGGAAGACGGGAGACTAAAGATATAAATTTAAGCAACAACTTAAAATCCCAACTTGTATTTTAAAAAAACTATGCACGATACTCAAGAAGGACAGTGGAGGAGAGAATATCATTGGACGCACGACAAGGGAACAATGCCTTTAGAATGATGATCGACTATCGAACAATAAAGATTTAATCAAAAACGTTGGCAGCTATTTTTTAATGTCGGCCAGGGGCCTTTGCATGGTAAAGGGAAAAGGAATAGCTAAAATTTCAAATCATTCCAATTTTATAATTTATTTACAAAAATGTATTACATAACTAGTGCAAAAAGTATTACATAACTATAGCTAAATGCGGGAAAGTATGTGCTGTTTTAGCACTACTAGTTTCGCGCCGCATTACACAACTTTCTCTATAATACGTATATTAATCGGTATGTACGTATGTACAAGAGTGTAAAAACTCTGCAATTGATGTTGAAAACAAATTTTCAATAAATATTTATTCAGTATTATCCCGAGATAATACTTACTCACGTAAATTCCATCACACCAGAGGTGACTTTGGAAGAGTTAAAAAAAGCGTTAATAAACATGAAAAATAATAAAGCACCTGGGCCTGGAGCCATAGAGCTGGTTAAACATTATCCTATCGTAGATTTGGAATTAATTACTGAAATATTCAATGGCATTTTATAAGGAGGTAAAATACCTGAAATATGAAAATTAGCCTACATAAATTCAATTTACAAAAAAAGTAAAAAGATTGTAATAATTATAGAGGAATAAGTGTGACTTCATCTTTGGTTAGACTATATGGACGAGTGCTAAAGAATACAATTGAAATGCAAACATCAGACTCAGAAGAGCAAAGTGGTTTTAGACAAGGAAGATCGTGTATTGACAATATTTTCTGTCTCAAACAACTGATGGAAAAAACAATTGAGCGAGGA